CGATTCTGTTGCTTCTCTTCCGGGTTGTGGTGCCGTCTCCATCCCCGCTCCCGCTCCCGTTACGCCTGGCACCGATGCTGCTGCTTGTTCCACTGTGCCCTCCTGCTCCTTCGACCCTCGGTCTGCTGCTTGTGGAGCTTTCGTTTCAGCGGTTGGGCCATCTGTTCCAGCACTACCACCAGTATCTTTGTTTTTTTTAGGACTCTCGCTCTCTTCGGACGCAGTATCCAAAAGACCCTGAGTTGTTTCAGCAAGTCCACCACCGCAGACACCGCACCACAGCACGCAGAGGGCACACACCAGCAGCACACGGCCAGTCATCATCGCCATCACTCCTGTCTCTTGCGCGCAGCCTAGTGCAAAAGTAACTCTCCGTAAAGACAAAGCAAAAAGATAAACACAGCCGCTACACCACGCACAGCAACAAATGGCAGCACCCCAGCAGCAGCAGCGCACACACCACGAGACAGATGGAATCACTACGATTGCAGAGCTCGCACACCGCCCCGCAAACCACAAGTTTAAAAAGCAATAAAAAACAATAATTAAAAAGAAAAACAAACCCAGGGCTCCAGTGCGCATACTTATGAGTGTGTCCGCGATGCGTTCAATGTGAACGAATGCGGGGCACAACGCGGAGCACACAGCACGGCAGCAGAAGCAAGTGAAGCAAAACACAATTATTATTTTCTCTTATTTTATACAGTGAACCACAACACACGCGCACAAATCCCCGCGGTTGGGTGCTGGCACGCACACACCTCTTCAGCCCAGAGCGGTGTACGCCAGCGCGGATGCGGCAAGCACCAGCGGGGCACACACCCACGCAGAGCTGCTGAGGCTGCCGTCGACTTCGCGAAGACGTAACGGTGAGCGGGTGGTCGTTGTGGTTGGTGCCTCTGTATTCATGGCCGTATTACTTGGTGCCTCTGTGGTTGTAGTTGTAGTCGTAGTAGTGGTTGTGGTAGTCGTATTTGGTGCCTCTTCCGTGGCATCTTTATTATGTTTTAGCGTTTCCGAATCACGGTCCTGATTTGTTTCCACCGAATTATTGGAATTACCCGTTGATCCTGTAGAGCCGGTGTTCCTACCGTCTGGCACTGGCTGAACAGACGCAGTTTTTTTATCTTCTGTATTGGACAACACGCCTGATCCCCCTCCCGCAACGGCTGTAACAGGCTGAGCTGAGACGCCGGCAATGTCCTGGTTCGGGACTTTAGGGATATTTGGACCAGAAGGACCGGCCTCCCGACTTTTATCCTCTGATTGTGTGGGCTGTCCATCGGGGGCATCTTTTTCCGAAATAACCGATGTCGTGAAGACACATGGGCAGCAGCACAGGGCGAGCACCAGCAGGGCGCACAGCAGACGGCACGTCATCATCGTGAGTGTGGTCGTTCAGTGGTGTGGAGCTGATCTGCACAGTGAGGGACATGGAGAGCAACAGGGGAGACGAGAGGTGCGGCAGACACACACAGAGGGCACACCACATGAGGAGAGGGCAGCAGCCAGGCATGCACCGTACGCCGCACACCAGACACGACACACACTCCAATCCACGACAGCACACACACACACACAGCCCTGCCGCAACACCAACACGCAGATGGAAGAGGAGAAGCAAACAGGAGCGGCACACAAGGCTCCACCGCATTTACATGCGGCGAGAGCGGTCCGTCGCGTCGGCACCCCTCACGGAGGGCACACACACACACACGAGAATAGGTGCAGCGCACACAGCAACACAAAAGCAAAGTAACAATAAAAAGAGGAGAGATCCCCGCACACCACGTGGATTGTTGGTCCACGGGAAGCGCAGCCAACATTCATCACAAAGCAACACTTCAGTTGTCTTTGGCCTTCGTCCATATTCGTCGCACTCCATTTCATGCAGGCGCGGCCCCCAGCACTGCAGCAGCCGCACACGTAAAAACAAGCGCAAGGAATGGAATAATGCAAGCAAACGTCTATTGTTTTTCCGTTTGGATGTTGGCAGATGTGTGCATATGTTGTTTTGTTTTTTTTTTGTTTTTGCGGAGGGCAAACCTTCATGCCTGGGTCGTGTGTTGGGGATTCCTGCAGGGTGCACAATTATGTTTTTCCTCTTGTGAATGTTTCTTGTGTTGGTGCGGCCAAGAATTCGGTCTGTGCTGTTCCTGCCTTTTGCTGGTTAAGTGTTGCAATAGATGTTTGTTTTTCCTTTCGTTGCTGTGGCACCTGATTCCTCACCGTTTATTGCGGTGGAAATGAAAATATGTGAGTGGACTCCCACACACCAGAACGCACCTTCGCTCTTATTTATTGGTGCATGGAAGGGCATGTCTGTTTGGTGGTGTCTCGACCATATATTCTTCTGGGTGTACATTCCCCTGCGGGCTGAGGGCGGGATGACGCTCCGTCGCGGTGCACTTCCCTCGCATGCCGCCCACTGTGATTCATCATGCATCACCCTCTCACATACTCCGTTGTGCCACACCGCTGATATTATTGCAGCCGCTGTGATTCCGCGTATTTCACGCATTTCATTGTGCCACAATACATCCGCTCGTGTGGCCGCCGCATCCAAACAGCGGTGCTCAACACCGTGAGCGGCAGTCCACATCCTTGCATGCCCCAGCGCAGTGGTGCTGGACTGTCAGCCAGGCGTCAGACAACAAGAGAGTCTTGTGCTGGCAGTACAATACACGGAGCTGCAGTGAATGACTCGGGCGGGGACGCATCTATTTGTCGCAAAGCAGTGAAAAGGAGTCGGGCAAAATAATGCCGGCTGCATTCACGACACCACATCCGCAGCCAAAGCATGCGACGTGATGTGTATTTCACTGGTGCTGTGAAATGCCTGCAGACGACGTCACTAGTGGAGGCATGCCACCCATGATCAGCGGACAGACAATAATCGGCATGGGAGGTCACAAAAGGCAGCAACGACGCCAGCAGCAGGAGCAGCCCTCTCTCTCTCTCTGTTGCCTACGAAAAGTAAATATTCCACCAGCCACAGTTGACTGTGCCATCGTGACACTCCATGCACGTCGTTGCTGCGTCAACACATCCTGTTCCCTGCAGCGCCTCAAAAGATGCCTCACTCCGTCCACTAAGTGCATCGGTGTGGGCCGTGCCTGGGCTGTTCGTGAGGACCACAACGATGTGAGGGTCACCAAGTCGCAGCATGTTCGCTGTGACGTTGTTGCATGGCACCTGCACACACACACGCAGCGCCTGCATCCCTCCCTTTTGTGTCCGCCCTCTGCCGGAGTGGCCACACACACACGGGCAGCAGCAAAATCACTTCACCCTCGACGATCCAAAATCGACACCGACATCCCTCGCGACGCAAAGATCTTTGTTGCCAGCACGGGCTTCCTGCCGCTCTGCCATCGACGCTGAAACACGGCACAGTGCACGCACTTATTTTCCTCTTGTGCAGTCAGCCGTTTGCTTCACACATTCTTCGATGGGCTGACGTTCACAAAAGCACGCCACAAAAGGCCACTGTGATCGCACAAGCTATTGTGATGAGCGTCTGTGTGTGCATGCATCCGCTGCTCACACGTGCTGGCAGGCAGCCTGCTGCCGGTGCCCTCGTGCCAGTTCATCGGCTCCAGCACGGAAAAGAGAAAATGGCCTATTCCCGATGCACTTATTCCCACCGGCAGCAACAACACGCTGGTCGCCAGCCGTCATTCCTCAGCACATCCAGGAATGCTGAAAAGTGACGTGGAGCTGTCAGCCAGCAATGCCACAATCCCCGCACACATGTCGACTACACCAGAGAAGAAACACAAATCACAAACAACACCCTCACATGTTTTCCGAACATCATTCCGACACACCGCGACACGCCAAACAGAAGTATTCGTCACTCCAATGCACCTCCCCACACAATCACATATTCCATGCACCACGCACGGCAGCAGCTCACACGCGGTCAAACAAATGTTCTTCGGATAAGTGTTATCCACGTGCTGCAGTGGGAAGTAAACAAAAGAGACGAGCGGCCAAACCACAAAAGAGTGCCACGACTGGCCGCAATTCAACGGAACGCAGCCACTCAAATGAATTCAGTCCTAATGCCCTCAACCTCCCACCCTCCCCCACAAAAGCTGCAAAAGATTGAAGACAAACGCACCGTCCAACAAATTCTTTGTGCAACACCAAAAGAAGCCGCAGTGCCTTATGCTGTCCTCACAGTCCGTTGATGACGCCTGGATGCGGATGGTCACCCATCGTTTCTTACAAACGACGCCGCACACCCGTGACGCATCCTGCGCTCTGAGAAACGCGTCCCTCACTATCACCAGAGACGCCCACGCACCGTCGGTACGCAACAAATCGTCAGGGAACGAAGAATACGTCAGGCTGACAGCAAGACACCTGCCGACAAATCACATCGCAGAAATCATCAATAGCAGCACCAAAAGCGATGCAGACCGTGGGGTTAACGTGGATCAACGGACGCACGCCAAAAGTCAAATAAAAGCTTAGTGGCTTGACAAGAATACAAGAGGCTGACGCTTCCTCAACAAAAACAAAACAGTAGAAAAACAAAAACAAAAATCCAAGTCTCCGAAGTCAAAGCAACCCAATAATCCACAAAAAAAGTTAATTGGTGCACTCAACCACAACACATGTAAAACAGTAAATAAAAAGCCGAACCGTGGGACGACCAGCGCACACACTCTCATTGCTCCCGTAAAGCAAAACACACACACAGGGAGAGAGAGAGAGAGAGGTCGCCCACTCAATGCAATGGAAACAAAACAGAAACAGTTACGGTGCTACGCCCATGCAGCCAGGCAGGACAGCAGCGGTGCGTGTCGTGCAAAAGAGAGCACCAACGGGCCTGCATGGGTGTGCATGCATATATACAATGGGCACATTATGTGTGTGCTGCGTTGGGATGAGGTGAGGGCGAGAGTCCATGCAAGGGGACACACACAGAGAGAGAGTGAGTGAAGGACGAGTGTGTGTGCGGGCGGTGCACGGCTCTCTCTCACTCACTCTCACGCGGCCACCACCGCCGCAGCCGCAGCCGCACACACAACAACAAGAAGAAGAAGCAAAAGAGGGGAGGTGGCGTGGGAGACCACATTGCTGCTGTCACTGTCGCGAGATTTAGATGTATCATTTGTTTGATAGTTGTTGACTGTTTCTGCCTTTTGTGGTGCTGTCTCAGTGGATGTGGGAGTGTTGTTGGTATTACCACCTTCGATTCCGTCTTGTGGTTCTCTGCTGTTAGGCCGTTGAGCGCCGTTATCAACCTTGTCCTCCTTGTTTTGAGCTCCACCACTGCCACTTTTAGATACAGATGACGCTGCTGTTTCCGCTGGACGACTTGTATTTGAATCATTCATCGAATCTGGTGTGTCCGTGTCTTTTCTGTTTTGGCTTGGCTCACCATTTCCTAAAGGTTTTTCCTCTGCTTCAGGCGCCGTTTCAGCGTTTGACGGTGACGTCATGGTTGTTGTTTCTGTTGTATTCTGTGAGTCTGTTGATGCTGTTGGGTTTGTTTCTCCTGCTGAAACGGTTATTGCTGGTGACCGCTCTGTTGGTGATACTACCGTAGGAACTTCTTGTGGCGCCGGTGATATATCTGCTGGTGGTGGTGAAGGTTCCTTTGGTGGTAATACTTGTTTGATTCTTTGTTTTAGCAGTGGTTGGGGGTAGTTTTTATTAGGGGACAACCCGTTATTGCGGCCAGTACTGTCTTTTCCCCCGTCCGCAATTTCACCGCCAACGACATCAGTAAGAACTTTTGTTTTTTTTTTGTTTTTTTTTGTATCGGACAACTGTAATTGTGCATCAGAATCAAGTGTCACTGTTCCATTCACATCAGGCGGCAATGCCTCTTGAGGCCCTGATTCTGAGTGATCCTGTTTTCGTATGTGGTCCACTTCTTTTTGGGGTACATTTTCCTCAGGCGGATTCGGACCCACTTCCTGATCAATATCGAGAGATGATGATTCTTCATCAGAAGCAGAATCCAAAGGCTCACTTTCACTTCCATGAGGAATATCAGCCTTTGAACCTCCACTGCCACCATTACTCCCATCTGCGGGAGGAGTTTGACCGACAGTTCCACCTCCACGTTCGCCACGAGTTCCGGGATCACCAGAAACAACATCGACATCCTCAGCGTAGCCACCGCCGGCACCGCACCACAGCACGCAGAGAGCACACACCAGCAGCACACGGCCAGCCATTATCATCGACATCACTCCTGTCACTCGCGTGTAGCCTTCAGCACAAACTAACTCCCAGTCAACGCAAAGCAAAAGCAAAAAACAAGGCGCAGTAAAAAACACCAGCAGCAGCAGCACGCATTTCATGAGAAATATCGAAAAAATGAAGTGCAAGAAACACACAACGCCCTGCAAAAAGCTCACAAGAAAAAGAAAAACACGCAACAAGGAAAGACAGAACACAAGTAAACGAGCAGCAATAAAGTAAAACAGTAAAAACAAAAAACAAAAAACTGCACCCAAGTGGCTCCAGTGCGCATGCACCTATTTTCAACAATGCGTCCACACAAACAGCAGTATGCGTGTCGTGCATATGAGTGTGTCTGGGATGCGTTCAACGTGACGGATGTGGGGAGCAACGTGGAGCACACAGCAAGGCAGCAGAAGCAACTGAAGCAAAAAACAATCATTATAATGACTCTTGCTTTATACATCGGACCACAGTAGACATACACAGATCCCCGCGGTTGAGTGCTGGCACGCACAGCCCATACACACCTCTTCAGCCCACAGCGGTGTACGCCAGCGCGGATGCGGCAAGAAGCAGCGGGGCACACACCCACGCAGAGCTGCTGAGGCTGCCGTCGATTTCGCGAAGATGTGACGGTGCACGGGTGGTCGTCGTGGTTGGCGCCTCTGTGGTTGTAGTACTGGTGGTGGTGCTGGTGGTGGCTGGCGCAGCGGTCGTAGTGGTCGTGGTCGTAGTTGGCGCCTCAACAGACTTCTCTGGTGCCCTTGGCAGGGTAGATTCCTGACTCTGCGACAATTCCTCACCGCTCCTCACATTTCCTGTCTGCAACACCTCTTGAGTCTGTGCGGACTGATTCGCTAAGCCTGGTGACTCTGGATTATCGCTCGCCGGAATTGGTGTCCCTGGCAGAACTGACGCACCTGTTGTCTGTCCACTGATGGCCGCAACCGCTTTCGTTGGCAAAGAAATTCCTTCACTTCCTAAACCTTCCTCAGCGCTCCTCCCATTTTCCGGTTCCACACCAGGGCCCTTAACTGATTCCTGTCCCTTATCAAGACCACCTTGCACTTGTGACTGAGAGGACGATGTAATCAGTTCGGTGGATTTGTGGCCATCACTCGCTGTCATGCACACGGAAGGGCAGCAGCACAGGGCGAGCACCAACAGGGCGCACAGCAGACGGCACGTCATCATCGTGAGTGTGGTCGTTCAGTGGTGTGGAGCTGATCTGCACAGTGAGGGACATGGAGAGCAACAGGGGAGACGAGAGGTGCGGCAGACACACACAGAGGGCACACCACATGAGGAGAGGGCAGCAGCCAGGCATGCACCGTACGCCGCACACCACGCACACCACACAATCCAATCCACGACAGCACACACACACACACAGCCCTGCCGCAACACCAACACAAAGATGGAAGAGGGAGAAGCAAACAGGAGCGGCACACAAGGCTCCACCGCATGCACATACGGCGAGAGCGGTCCGTCGTGTCTGCACCCCTCACGGAGGGTACACACACACAAGAGGAGGTGCAGCGCACACAGCAACACAAAAGCAAAGTAACAATTAAAAAAGGAATGATCCCCGCACACCACGTGGATTGTTGGTCCACGGGAAGTGCAGCCAACATTCATCACAAAAATAATTCAGTTGCCTTTTGGCCGTCGTTCATATTCAGCGCACACAACTACATGCAGGCACAGTCGCCACCGCAGCAGCAGCACACACACGCAAAAATAAGACACAAAGGATGGGAAGTGGTGTGGAAGACCGCGGTGCTGCTGTCGCTGTCGGCGGTGGTCGCTGTTCCTTTGTCATTGTTGGTGACTGATGTTGTTGTTAATTCTTCCGGCTGTTTGACTGGGAGTGATGTTAAAAAACAATTGTTTCCCTGGCAGTAATTTGATTCCTCTCCTGTCCCGTCGATTTCTGTGCTCGCCGGTGGTGTGGTTGGTCGCTGGAGTCGGCGAGACGCTGACAGGGCTTCCAGCACCATCTGACTGAATTTGGTCTGCTGTGTTCTCGTCCCCAGTCCCACTGCACCAGCTGCTGGGGGCGGTGCAGCGGTCATGCCAGAAGCACCATCAATGGGCTGGGTGTCGGCCGCATCAATCAATGGGTGTGTGCCCGCAATCGACAGGAACTTGCATCGACAGGGAGTTCTGCACCGACGCTCGGGGTGGGGGAACAATGGCGCCAAGCGAAACAGCGCATGCCACCCCGTAAAATCCGCAAGGCGTATTGGCGCGGGCTGCGTTACTGCCGTGGCAAAGGAAATGAATGACGGTGCGAGTGGCGTTCTCGTCGTACGTCCCCTCCGGCCAATCCTTGCAGTAAAGCATTGCCTGAGTACATTGGATTACGCCTAAGAGAGCAATTAAAAATGTTCTTTCCTCTGCATGTATTGTACTCGCATGTGGCCACGGCCGCCGGCAATGCCTCCAGCGGATACACCTGCGATGCACGGTCAACACAATCCACATCCACTCGTTGTGCGCCATCCAACACCATCTTTTCCTTGGAGCTATGAACAACACCGGGCACACACTCCTTTTCGGCCGTCCACGGCATGCGCCTGCGGTGAGAATCCGGAGAAATTCCCATTCCTTTTGTGCAAAAAGTCATGGAGCTGACGCCGTTAAGCGCGTCCCGGCGAGGGCAACAACAGCCCGCCGCAGCACTCACGAATGCCCACCTGTTGATTCCCGTGCAAAAAAAAAAAAAAGACAATGGAGGGAAAAGCGTGCACAAATGCCCTGGCAAGAAAGGCCAGCACCAGTGGATAAACACTGAAGCCGTGGGTGCATGCTCCACAAATGTCCTTCCTTTTTAAGCCGCCTTCTTAGTTGCATGGAAATGACCCGCAACCGCACACGTGAGAATAAAAAAGCAAAAGGCGAGCAGTGCAGCCGTTAAAACACACACACGCGTATCGTATGAAGCGCTTTATGGAGAGGAACGGAATGCAGGAAGAAGCGCACACAATCCCAATGGACACCCGCAATCGTGTGTGGTTGCATATTTCCCACTCTTTGGCCCTCGATGCGTTCCTGTGCGTGTCTCGCCCGTGAGTCACAGAGCCGTAGAGTGCCAAGTCCCTGCACAAACACACCTCAGGACGCGACAGCGAGGTTTCCCCAATGACCACCTCACGGCCATACCCTTTGGATATCTCATGGACCGAGCGCCTCCCGCTGCAGGCCACACCACCCAATACAAGCAGCACAATGCGCTGAGGAGTTGTGAGGGCAATCGTCCCACCACCGCCACCCAGATCAGGATGATTCTCCCATTTGCCACCACACTCTTGAAATGGCTCGGCGTTTTTCCCTCATGCTCCACTGCTTTGACCACAACTCGCGCCATTTGGCCTCATCGCATGATCGCGCTCCATCGATGCCAACGACAGCCCAACCCGCAGCGTCTTATTCCTGCCTGCCGTACCAGTAAGCAGGCATGCTTCAGAAACGGATCCCCGTCCGTTGCAGCGTTGCTCGCAGAGGCACTCGTGCTCCGTCCGCCCTGCACCGACGCCGTGCTGTATTGTTGCACGCTCCCGGCCCTCCTCGTCACATGCTCAAGGTTCGCAAACAAATGGGCGTCGGGCGTCAGTCCACCCTCTCGGATCAGCTGCTGCTTCCTGGCCTCCGTCAACTCATCGGTGCTGCTCGCAGTCACAAGCAACAGGAGAAGACGCAGTCACACTGGCCGGGGCGTTGCGGTATCCCTCGTCAGGCGCCGCACGCCATCCAGATTTTTCCTGAGGGGTTTGTGCCCAACGGCGATGTCTTGTTCCACCTCCCACACCTCCGCCAGTCGCTTCTCCCGGTACTGTGCCACAAGCCTCGCGCAAATATCGACGTGCAGCGACAGTCTGGCTTGCCTCTCCCGAAACTCCGGCGAAGCCCGCACCGCACTGCTCAACCTCACAAGCTTGGCCTTCGGCTCCACGCCCTGCGCCAATCCCGGGTGATACGCGTGGAGTTTTTTCAGCGTCACCGAAGGCTCCTCCACGCACTGCGCAAGAAAACAATGACGGTACGAGCGCCGGCACACATCTTCCTCATCCAATTACTGCCGCTTCGAGTCTGCCCCAGACAATTCTTACAGGCCTGCTCATACACTTTCTTCCCCAGCGGCATCAGCTCATCAAGCAGACACTGACATGTGCGTTGGTGCATCAGCGGCATCACCGTGACAAAGCCCCAATCAACGATGATCCGCACCGGGTTGCCGCGGCTGTCGGCGCCCCTAAGTGAAATCCGGCTCGTCGTGGTATTGCCTGGTGAGCCCTCAAAGAAGGTCCTGGCAAACCCATGGCAGATGTTGCCCCTTTTTTGGTGGCAAATGACAGGCACACAGTTGTTCATGGCGTGAAAAACCGCCACAATAAGTGACTCCGCAAAGTTCAAAACGGACTCTCGAGTCGACAGCGGCGACAGCAGCTGAGGGAACCCATTCTGCATGCTGAGGTGGGACACCAGCACCTCAGAGGCGGCGAAATCTAAAATAATGTCCTTGAAACGCATCGCCCTCGGCGCCATCCAAGCACGCACCGGTTGCTGAGGACTGCGATGCGGGGTGCACCCCAGCGCAAAGATGTGTGCATCCCTGTAAGTAACATTTGCCATCCAATCCTCAGCCACGCGGCTCATAGACGCATCCTCCACGGAAAAAAAGTAGCGCGCAGGGCTACTGATAATCGGCTGCCGCGGTGTCATAGGTCCCCGAGCAGCGTCACGCCGTGTTCCATGAGATCATGAAGACGCAGTGAGCAGTTTAGCACAGCCGCAGCATGGGAATAGCAAAAAAAACTTTGGAAAATCCATGAACGGCGTCAAGCATCTGGTGGAATATATAATCCCGCACACAACCACAAACGCCATTGCTGGGCTCACGCGGCTGCCCCGCTTCCGACGGCCTTGCTCGCACCAACCCGCTCTGCATAATATGTCAAGTACAAGTCACACAGACAATGTGCTTGGATATGCGTGTGTGTGTCTTGTGTGCGCACATTTCACTCGCACCTTTTTTTGTGTATTTGCGTCTCAGAAAACCTAACAAACACACAAGCAATGCCATACTACCATACAGCGGCCCACATCGGCAACCAACACGGGAAGAGCTATGTGCACCGGAAATACAACCAATCTCAAATAAAAAGTCAAACGGAGCGGACACAGCACATGCATATGGAGAAGGAGACCCATTGAAATGAATGTTTTTCTATTGAGCTTCCAGTGCTGGGTGCAGGCCACGCAGGAGGAAGCGCAGTCGCCTCGCAGCGCAATGCCGTCCACACCGCAAATCGATGAAGTGTTGCCACGGGGGCAGCAGAGGCAAGCAGAAGAAGCAGCGGACAGGGACAAGCAGCAGCAGCAGTGCCATCACCGGGAGTCGGAGGCATGCCCTGCCTGCCGTCCGTCTTGCTGCTTCGGTCCCTGCCGCCGAGAGAAGCTTCTTGCGGTCTGTCAGGGCATCCTGGCCGGATCCACTTCTCCTCTGTCAACGGATTCTTATGAGGAGCAGCCGTGTCTACATCCTTCGGTGGTGTGCCGCGGTCGGTCTCAATGCTCTCCGCAACGGGGACGGATGCCCCTGGCAATCCTTGTTCAGTAGATGCCGGTGAAACCGTCACGCTCCACACCCTCTCACATCGCCACCCCACGGAACCACTGCAAGTAGGCTACCGCCAGTCGCGGATATCGTGCACACCTGCGCGTGGTCACGGCAAATAACTTTTCCCTCATCGTAGGGTGGAGTGGCCCACGCAGCCGTCGCCCCGTCCGTGCATGGAACACAACGGACGTTACCCTTTTCAGTCACTTCCAGATGTACCTGCATGCCGAGGCACCTCAATGCCGCATGCAAGGCAGCACTGAAATATGTCTCCTCCGGGTTCCTCGCATCCGTCGTGTTGTTGGGAAGCGTTTCCATAGACCACGAAGAGGGCTCATCCCCAGGCATCGCAGACAAAAATTCTCCTCTCCAAATAACAGCCTCAATATCCCTCACAGCCAGTGCGGGATCAGTGATGGCGCAACTGTCCATCGGGCGTTTGGCTGACATCTCATGGATGCTCCCCAAATACCAACCGCGGGAATAACGATCCGACGCGCAGCGTTTGACACCATCGTCTCTGTTGCAGACCATGTAGCAATATTCACTCATGTTCAGTGCGGAGCGCTTCTTCTGCAGCAGCTCACAGCCCGAATTCGTGCACCAACGCATCGGCTCCGCCATCTCCCACTTCACCTTCATGCAGCCCAAGGCAGCCGATGCAGCAGCGTCAGCTCCGTGCAGTAGCCGGTACCCACAATCGCTGCCATCCACTCATCCCTCGCGTGGCGCTGCCACAAGTGCGACTCCAGCGTCCTCCCGTCCCATCGCCATCCTGCAGCTCCATGCCATCAATGTCGTCGCAGTCGTGGTGCTCCCTCGCTGCCATCGCGGCATTCGTCGAGCGCACCATCACCAACAGCGCCCTGACACGCACACCGGCAACATGCCTCACCATGCTGCGGCCTGCCATGTGCGGGCAGGTGAACCCGACAGCATGGGCCATCAGGTGCGCGGCGATGCGGGTGGCGATGCATCCGTGAAATAAAACTGACAGGCAAAGTGCATGGCGCCAGCGACTGGACGGCCATCCTCCAGCGTGACGCACGGCAGTGCCCACACACCACCCAGCGCCGCAGCCACGGACAGCACCATGTCAGCATTGGCAACACCAATGGAACGATGCCCAGCAGGCACCACAAACCAACCGCAAACGCTGCCCGTGGCAGATGGGGGCACAATCAACGGACCCTCCAGTGGCTGGACGAGCAGACGATCCTCATGCGGTTTGACAGCAGCAGGGACAGTATCCTCGGCAACGAGGTTACCGTGTGCAGAGGAAGGAACAACATCCTCACAGTGGCGATTGTCATTCAATGAATTCATTGCGTGAGACCAGGAGAAGACGCAGTGCCTTGTGCTGTCACACGGGTTCGTTATTGACGTCTTAATGCGGACGGGCACCCATGGATCCTTCCAGACGCCGCTGCACACCTGCAACGCGTCCAGCGCCCTGAGATGCATTCTCCCCACCGTAAACGAGATAAACCTTGCTGTCGGAGGAGACCACATCGTCACGAAATAAGGAATACTTCAGGATGAAAGCAAGGCATCCGCTGGCAAATCACATCGCAGAAATCATCAATAGCAGCACCAGAAGCGATGCAGACCGTGGGGTTAACGTGGATCAACGGACGCACGCCAAAAGTCAAATAAAAGCTTAGTGGCTTGACAAGAATACAAGAGGCTGACGCTTCCTCAACAAAAACAAAACAGTAGAAAAACAAAAACAAAAATCCAAGTCTCCGAAGTCAAAGCAACCCAATAATCCACAAAAAAAGTTAATGGGTGCACTCAACCACAACACAAGTAAAACAATAAAAAAAACAAGAAGCCGAACCGTGGGACGACCAGCGCACACACTCTCATTGCTCCCGTAAAGCAAAACACACACACAGGGAGAGAGAGAGAGAGAGAGAGGTCGCCCACTCAATGCAATAGAAACAAAACAGAAACAGTTACGGTGCTCAGCCCATGCAGCCAGGCAGGACGGCAGCGGTGCGTGTCGTGCAAAAGAGGGCACCAGCGGGCCTGCATGGGTGTGCATGCAATATATACAATGGGCACATTGTGTGTGTGCTGCGTTGGGATGAGGTGAGGGCGAGAGTCCATGCAAGTGGACACACACAGAGAGTGAGTGAAAGACGAGTGTGTTTGCGGGCGGTGCATCGCTCTCTCTCACTCACTCTCACGCGGCCACCACCGCAGCAGCACCCGCACACGCAACAAAAAGAAGAAGAGGGGAGGTGGCGTGGGAGACGACGGTGCTGCCGTCACTGTCTTCAATCGTTGTATTATATTTTTTGGCAGTGGATATAAATGATGTTTGTTTGTCGCTTCCATCCACTTGTTCTTGATTTTCTTCTTCCTCCGGCACTCCAGCATGAACTGCTGAACCATCGTTTGCAATCTCTGCATTGCTTTCGTCAGCGTCATTGGCGGCAGCATCATCCGCAGGAGAAGATGGTGAGGTTGTTTCTGCCTGACCCTCAGTTAGTGCATTCTGCCTTGCATCTGTTGTTGGTTCAATGCCTTTTGTCTGCGGATCTTCAGTTGACTGCATGGTATCTTGGACTTCCTTTGAGGATGGCAATGCGCTCTGTGGCAGTGGTTTCGGTGGCGGATCTGATGGACCTCCTGGTGCGTCTACTTCTGCTGCTGTTGGCGGCGATTCCTCGGATATTTCTTTTTCTTCCGGTGCCTTCTTCTCCTCTGCGCCTCCTTGTGCCGGTGCTTTTGCCTGTTCTGCTGCTCCAGCCGTGGACGATCGCAAATTTCCAGAAAGCGACTTTGAAGCAGGTTCCTTTCCCGGAGCTCCGGAAGAACGAGTGTTGCTTGAGGCAGTCAATAATTCATGTGTTTCAGCTGCAGAGTCATGCTCTGCATTGTGCGCGCTGCCAGTCGAATCCACCTGATTTGTTTTTTTTCCATCTTCCACATTTTTCTGGTCCTCCTGAACCCCTTCTGGGACTCCCTGTAACACGGGCACAGTCTGTTTAGTGCCAGTCGTTGTTTGAGGCTGCGGTATTTGTCTTTGACTGTCGCCGTTTGATGCATCCCGTGTGAGACTCGAGCTGGGTGCAGTCGCATGCTCTTCTGAGGCCCCGAACGGCTGCGTCGCATTTTCTGGATGTCCTTCTTCTGGCGCTGGTGCTGGAGGTGTCTGCACGCTCGCTCTTGTCTCTGGCACGTGCGGTACTCCGTCTTCCTGTTGTGTCCCCTCGCTCTGATTATTTGTAACTGACGCATTGTCTTTTTGTCCACGCTTCTCTTCCATGGCGCGAGGTGTCAACTCCACACCAACAAGTCGCGGTTGAGGGCACACTTTCGGGCTTGACGGCTCTTCGCCGCAGCCTGCTGAGACTGCGTCCTCCCTTTCTTTTTCCTCACGTCCTCCATAGGAAGAATCGTCTTGGCCGCCGGAGACAACTGCGGGCTGCTGGTTGGGACCAACAGCACCCAATACAGGAGCTCTGCTGGCACCGTCTTTATCAGCAACAGCAGGAGATGAAGCCGTTGATGCGGCCCCACTGCCGCTGGGCGTCAGCCCGCTCTCTGCATCAACGACCGGTGATTCTTCTGCATCACTGTTGCGCTTTCCGCTTGTGCCAACGCCAGCACCAGGTGAATTCAAATCGCTGTCCTCACCAGCCAGCACTGCCGTTACTACTCCCCGGAAGGCTGTACTCGGCACGCATTCCCTCTTCATAAGCACCACTTCGTCATCCATTCCCTTCGCAGGCTTCACGTCGTCCAATCCACCATCAGCGCAGTAACCCGCAGGGAGCCCGTAGCCACCGCCGGCACCGCACCACAGCACGCAGAGGGCACACACCAGCAGCACACGGCCACTCATCATCATCGCCATCACTCCTGTCACTTGCGTGTAGCCTTCAGCACAAACTAACGCCCCGTCAACGCAGAGCGAGAGAAAAAGAAGAGACACGGCCGCTACACAGTAACAAATGGCAGCAGCCCAGCAGCGGCAGCGCACAAACCATTACACAAATGGAACCAGAACAAATCCAAAACTCGCACAACACCTGCAAGAAAAAAAAAAAAAGGTTAAAAAAAAAAGACACACCCAAGGCTCCGCTGCGCGTGCATATGAGTGTGTCTGGGACGCGTTCAACGTGACGGATGCGGGGCACAACGCGGAGCACACAGCACGGCAGCGGAAGCAAGTGAAGCAAAACACAATCATTATTTTCTCTTATTTATTTACATCGGACCACAGTAGACGCACAAATCCCCGCGGTTGAGTGGTGGCACGCACAGCCCGCACACAATTCTTCAGCCCAGAGTGGTGTACGCCAGCGCGGATACGGCGAGCAGCAGCGGGGCACACACCCACGCAGAGCTGCTGAGGCTGCCTTCGATTTCGCGAAGATGTGACGGTGCGCGGGTGGTCGTCGTGGTTGGCGCCTCTGTAGTCATGGCCGTATTACTTGGTGCCTCTGGCGCAGTGGTGGTCGTGGTCGTCTGGGCATGATCTTCGGCGTTCCGATCTGTTTGGTCTGCGGACGGACTTGTGGGACTTTGTGGCTTTGTCGTCCTCTTGCTTTCTGTCTGTACTGTATTACTCGCGTCACTTGATTGAGGTTCCGCACCGGTCAAACTTTGTCCATCTCTGGCATTATCTCCCGCTTCCGCAGCGGAACCCAGACTTGGCAACTCTGACTGACCGGTCTTAACTTGTGTCTGTGCGGACTGTTTCGCCAAGTCTGATGACTCTGGATTATCGCTCGCCAAACTTATTGCCTCTGGCGGAGCTGGCGGAACTGGTGTCTGTCCAGTAGTGGCCGTACCAGGTGAAATAGACAGAGTGTTTTTTGGATTTGTTATCCCCTGCAAACCGGACGCATCTTCTGACAGACCTGCATTTTTTTCCGGAGTCTTTGACCCTGGCGTATTGGTGGAACCTGCTGCGTTCAGCTCAGGGATCTCTAAACCAAGACGATTTTCATCTACTGGTTGCCCTTGCGGAGCGGATGGCGGACCTTGTTTGCTTTTCGCATCGTTTTCAACTTGATCCTTTGGCATTTTGGTCGTCAGGTCTTGGATCCCTTGAGTTCCCTTGGGATTACCGTTAGTTTCACTTACATCCTTTTGTGGATTGGGGTGCTCACCGGGGTCGCTAAGCTTACCTTCACTCGCTCCCACGCACACGGACGGGCAGCAGCACAGGGCAAGCATCAACAGGGCGCAGAGCAGATGGCACGTCATCATCGTGAGTGTGGTCGTTCAGTGGTGTGGAGCTGATCTGCACAGTGAGGGACATGGAGAGCAACAGGGGAGACGAGAGGTGCGGCAGACACACACAGAGGGCACACCACATGAGGAGAGGGCAGCAGCCAGGCATGCACCGTACGCCGCACACCACGCACGACACACACTCCAATCCACGGCAACAGGCACACACACACACACAGAGCTGCCGCAACACCAACACGCAGATGGAAGAGGGAGAAGCAAACAGGAGCGGCACACAAGGCTCCACCGCATGCAAATGCGGCGAGAGCGGTCCGTCGCGTCGGCACCCCTCACGGAGGGTAAGAACACACACAAGAGGAGGTGCAGCGCCCACAGCAGCACAAAAGCAAAGTAACAATAAAAAAAGGAGATCTCCGCACACCACGTGGATTGTTGGTCCACGGGAAGTGCAGCCAACATTCATCACAAAAACAATTTAGTTGCCATAGGCCTTCGTCCATATTCAGCGCACACCACTTCATGCAGGCCCGGCCACAGCCATCGCAGCAGCTGCACACTCAAAAAAATAAGCGCAAGGAATGGCATAATGCAAGCATCCATTTATTTGTGTTTCTGTTTGGATGTTGGCAGATGTGTGCATATGTTGTTTTGTTGTTTTTGTTTTTGCGGAGGGCAAACCTTCATGCCTGGGTCGTGTGTTGGGGATTCCTGCAGGGTGCACAATTATGTTTTTCCTCTTGTGAATGTTTCTTGTGTTGGTGCGGCCAAGAATTCGGTTTGTGTTTTTCCTGCCTTTCGCTGGTTAAGTGTTGCAATAGATGTTTGTTTTTCCTTTCGTTGCTGTGGCACCTGATTCCTCACCGTTTATTGTGGTGGAAACAAATAATATGTGAGTGGACTCCCACACACCAGAACGCACGATCGCTCCTATTTATTGGTGCATGGAAGGGCATGTCTGTTTGGTGGTGTCTCGTCCATATATTCTTCTGGGTGTACATTCCCCTGCGGGCTGAGGGCGGGATGACGCTCTGTCGCGGTGCACTTCCCTCGCATGCCGCCCACTGTGATTCATCATGCATCACCCTCTCAAATACTCCGTTGTGCCACACCGCTGATATTATTGCAGCCGCTGTGATTCCGCGTATTTCACGCATTTGATTGTGCCACAATACATCCGCTCGTGTGGCCGCCGCATCCAAACAGCGGTGCCCAACACCGTGAGCGGCAGTCCACATCCTTGCATGCCCCAGCGCAGTGGTGTTGGACTGTCAGCCAGGCGTCAGACAACAAGAGAGTCTTGTGCTGGCAGTACAACACACGGAGCTGCAGTGAATGACTCGGGCGGGGACGCATCTATTTGTCGCAAAGCAGTGAAAAGGAGTCGGGCAAAATAATGCCGGCTGCATTCACGACACCACATCCGCAGCCAAAGCATGCGACGTGATGTGTGTTTCACTGGTGCTGTGAAATGCCTGCAGACGACGTCACTAGTGGAGGCATGCCACCCATGATCAGGGGACAGACAATAATCGGCATGGGAGGCCACAAAAGGCAGCAACGACGCCAGCAGCAGGAGCAGCCCTCTCTCTCTCTCTCTGTTGCCTCCGAGAAGTAAATATTCCACCGGCCACAGCCGACTGTGCCATCGTGACACTCCATGCACGTCGTGGCTGCGTCAACACATCCTGTTCCCTGCAGCGCCTCAAAAGATGCCTCACTCCGTCCACTAAGTGCATCGGTGTGGGCCGTGCCTCGGCTGTTCGTGAGGACCACAACGATGTGAGGGTCACCAAGTCGCAGCATGTTCGCTGTGACGTTGTTGCATGGCACCTGCACACACACACGCAGCGCCTGCATCCCTCCCTTTTGTGTCCGCCCTCTGCCGGAGTGGCCACACACACACGGGCAGCAGCAAAATCACTTCACCCTCGACGATCCAAAATCAACACCGACATCCCTCGCGACGCAAAGATCTCAGTTGCCAGCACGGGCTTCCTGCCGCTCTGCCATCGACGCTGAAACACGGCACAGTGCACGCACTTATTTTCCTCTTGTGCAGTCAGCCGTTTGCTTCACACATTCTTCGATGGGCTGACGTTCACAAAAGCACGCCACTAAAGGCCACTGTGATTGCACCCGCTCTTGCGATGAGCGTCTGTGTGTGCATGCATCCGCTGCTCACACGTGCTGGCAAGCAGCCTGCAGCCGGTGCCCTCGTGCCAGTTCGTCGGCTCCAGCACGGAAAAGAGAAAACGGCCTATTCCCGATGCACTTATTCCCACCGGCAGCAACAACACGCTGGTCGCCAGCCGTCATTCCTCAGCACATCCAGAAATGCTGAAAAGTGACGTGGAGCTGTCAGCCAGCAATGCCACAATCCCCGCACACATGTCGGCTCCACCAGAGAAGACACAAAAAACCACAAACAACACCCCTCACAAGTCATCCAAACATCATTCCGACACACCGCGACACGCCAAACAGAAGTATTCGTCACTCCATGCCCCACGCACGGCAGCGGCTCACACTCGGTCAAACAAATGTTCTTCGGATCAGTGGCCTCCACGTGCTGCGGTGGAAAGCAAAGAAGGAGACGAGCGGCCAAACCACAAAAGAGTGCCACGACTGGCCGCAAGTCAACGGAACGCAGCCACTCAAATGAATTCAGTCCTAATGCCCTCAGCCTCCCACCTTCTCCCACAAACGTCCCAAGAGCTGCAAAGCAAAAGTACCGTCCAATAAAGTCGCTGTGGAACACAAACAAATGTCGCAGAGCCTCCTGCTGCCACACGGCTCCGTTAATGACGTCTTCACGGGGACAGACACCCATCGGTGCTTACAAGCGAGGCTGCACACCCGCGACGCATCCTGCGCTTTGAGACGCACGACCCTCACCACAACCGGAGTTGCCGCGCGTTGTCGGCAGGCGCCACATCGACAAGAAAACAGGGATACGTCAGGATGACAACGAGGCAACCGCCGGCAAATCACATCGCAGGCAACATCAACAGCAGCACCAGAAGTGCTGCAGGCCGCGGGGTGACGTGGACCCACTGACGCAAGGTGTATGTGGAAGAGAGCAATTGGTGGCTTGCCAAAGCCACAAGGGGCTGACACACTAATAACAAGAGAGAAACCGTATAAGAAAGCATAAAAAAAATCAGGCGTCCAAAAAGCAAGCCACAAATCAATAAACGTGCAATGGATGCGTGCACCCTCAACACAAGCAGAGACTCAAGGAAGAAAAACAAAAAACAAAACAAAAAGCCGAAGCGTGGGACGACCAGCGCACACACTCTCATTGCTCCCGTAAAGCAAAACACACACACAGGGAGAGAGAGAGAGAGGTCGCCCACTCAATTCAATAAAAACAAAACAGAAACAGTTACGGTGCTCAGCCCATGCAGCCAGGCAGGACGGCAGCGGTGCGTGTGGTGCAAAAGAGAGCACCAACGGGCCTGCATGGGTGTGCATGCAATATATACAATGGGCACATTATGTGTGTGCTTCGTGGGATGAGGTGAGGGCGAGAGTCCATGCAAGGGGACACACACACAGAGTGGGTGAAAGACGAGTGTGTGTGCGGGCGGTGCATGGCTCTCTCTCACTCACTCTCACGCGGCCACCACCGCAGCCGCAGCCGCACACGCAAAAACAAGAAGAAGCAAAAGAGGGGAGGTGGTGTGGGGGACCGCGGTGCTGCTGTCACTGTCGCCAGGGGTAGCCGTTGTCGTTTTCATTGCTGTGGCTTCGACTGGTGTTTTCTTCGGATTGGCTTCTTTATTTTCATTTTGTTTTTCTTTTCTTTTCCCTGCACCTTCAGCTGCGGGGTCATTGACGTCAGTTGTTTGAGCGCTTTTAGGCTTTGTTTGATTCGATGCTCCCTCCGCACCAGAGGGTAAACTTCGCTGCTCTTGACTGTCTGCTGAAATCCCCTTTTTGGCGTCGGTATCGTCTTCTTCTTTCTTTTCCTTCTCCCTTTCTTCCTCTTTTTTCTCTTCCTCTTCCTCTTCTCCCTCCTCCAATTCCTTTTCACTCTCCTCTTCTTTTTTCGTTTCCTCCTTGTTTCCCCTCGTTCCTTTTGCCGATTCTGTTGCTTCTCTTCCGGGTTGTGGTGCCGTCTCCATCCCCGCTCCCGCTCCCGTTACGCCTGGCACCGATGCTGCTGCTTGTTCCACTGTGCCCTCCTGCTCCTTCGACCCTCGGTCTGCTGCTTGTGGAGCTTTCGTTTCAGCGGTTGGGCCATCTGTTCCAGCACTACCACCAGTATCTTTGTTTTTTTTAGGACTCTCGCTCTCTTCGGACGCAGTATCCAAAAGACCCTGAGTTGTTTCAGCAAGTCCACCACCGCAGACACCGCACCACAGCACGCAGAGGGCACACACCAGCAGCACACGGCCAGTCATCATCGCCATCACTCCTGTCTCTTGCGCGCAGCCTAGTGCAAAAGTAACTCTCCGTAAAGACAAAGCAAAAAGATAAACACAGCCGCTACACCACGCACAGCAACAAATGGCAGCACCCCAGCAGCAGCAGCGCACACACCACGAGACAGATGGAATCACTACGATTGCAGAGCTCGCACACCGCCCCGCAAACCACAAGTTTAAAAAGCAATAAAAAACAATAATTAAAAAGAAAAACAAACCCAGGGCTCCAGTGCGCATACTTATGAGTGTGTCCGCGATGCGTTCAATGTGAACGAATGCGGGGCACAACGCGGAGCACACAGCACGGCAGCAGAAGCAAGTGAAGCAAAACACAATTATTATTTTCTCTTATTTTATACAGTGAACCACAACACACGCGCACAAATCCCCGCGGTTGGGTGCTGGCACGCACACACCTCTTCAGCCCAGAGCGGTGTACGCCAGCGCGGATGCGGCAAGCACCAGCGGGGCACACACCCACGCAGAGCTGCTGAGGCTGCCGTCGACTTCGCGAAGACGTAACGGTGAGCGGGTGGTCGTTGTGTTTGGTGCCTCTGTATTCATGGCCGTATTACTTGGTGCCTCTGTGGTTGTAGTTGTAGTCGTAGTAGTGGTTGTGGTAGTCGTATTTGGTGCCTCTTCCGTGGCATCTTTATTATGTTTTAGCGTTTCCGAATCACGGTCCTGATTTGTTTCCACCGAATTATTGGAATTACCCGTTGATCCTGTAGAGCCGGTGTTCCTACCGTCTGGCACTGGCTGAACAGACGCAGTTTTTTTATCTTCTGTATTGGACAACACGCCTGATCCCCCTCCCGCAACGGCTGTAACAGGCTGAGCTGAGACGCCGGCAATGTCCTGGTTCGGGACTTTAGGGATATTTGGACCAGAAGGACCGGCCTCCCGACTTTTATCCTCTGATTGTGTGGGCTGTCCATCGGGGGCATCTTTTTCCGAAATAACCGATGTCGTGAAGACACATGGGCAGCAGCACAGGGCGAGCACCAACAGGGCGCACAGCAGATGGCACGTCATCATCGTGAGTGTGGTCGTTCAGTGGTGTGGAGCTGATCTGCACAGTGAGGGACATGGAGAGCAACAGGGGAGACGAGAGGTGCGGCAGACACACACACAGAGGGCACACCACATGAGGAGAGTGCAGCAGCCAGGCATGCACCGTACGCCGCACACCACGCACGACACACACTCCAATCCACGGCAGCAGGCACACACACACACACAGAGCTGCCGCAACACCAACACACAGATGGAAGAGGAGAAGCAAACAGGAGCGGCAGACAAGGCTCCACCGCGTGCACATACGGCGAGAGCGGTCCGTCGTGCCTGCACCCCTCACGGAGGGTAAGAACACACACAAGAGGAGGTGCAGCGCCCACAGCAACACAAAAGCAAAGTAACAATAAAAAGAGGAGAGATCCCCGCACACCACGTGGATTGTTGGTCCACGGGAAGTGCAGCCAACATTCATCACAAAAACAATTTAGTTGCCATAGGCCTTCGTTCATATTCAGCGCACACCACTTCATGCAGGCCCGGCCACAGCCATCGCAGCAGCTGCACACTCAAAAAAATAAGCGCAAGGAATGGCATAATGCAAGCATCCATTTATTTGTGTTTCTGTTTGGATGTTGGCAGATGTGTGCATATGTTGTTTTGTTGTTTTTGATTTTTTGCGGAGGGTAAACCTTCATGCCTGGGTCGTGTGTTGGGGAT